CCTGTGCAGAGGCGCGCGTGCACCTTGGCCGCGTCCCTGCCCGCGGCGCCCGCGCCCCGCGGCGGCAGCGCCACGCGCACCGCGGCGCCCGGGCACAGGCGCCACGCCCAGCCCTGCCGCGCGCTGAGGATCTGGGCCGGGCGTTGCTTCGTGGGGGGGCGATGCGGGCCCAGGCCCCCTCGGGCGACGAACAAAATCCGGACGGTGTGGGGGAGGAGGAGGAGGAGGAGGAGGAGGAGGAGGAGGAGGAGGAGGAGGAGGAGGAGGAGGAGGAGGAGGAGGAGGAGGATGCGGGCCCAGGCCCCCTCGGGCGACGCAGGAATCAGGCCCCCTCGGGTGTCGCCCTCCCCAGACCCCCTCGAGTAATGAAAAAAAACATGACGGGAGGTTTTTCCTAATTCTCGGCCTCCGGGGGCCCTCACCGGGCCTCGGGAGCGTCAAAAAACGACTCAGGATGCAAGACCGGTCCTGGGGAAAGGGTCGGGACCTCTGGGGGTCGGCGTAATGAAAGAATCATTGCGTCGGGGGTCTGGGTCTCGGGACCGCCACGGAACGACGCAGGATGGAAAACCGGTCCCAGGGGCAGGGGTCGAGACCTCTGGGGGGGTCGACGCTGGGCACAAGTCGGGGCGTCGGGGGTCTGGGGATGTCGCCGCGCCGTTTGCGCTGGACGCGCCCAGGTGGACGACGCCGACGCCACGGCAGACCCGTGCCCAGACCCCCGACGTAATGCTTCTTTCATTGCGCCGACCCCCAGAGGTCCCGACCCGTTCCCCCTTGACCGGCTATGCCTTCTGAGTCGTTCTTCGACGCTCCCGAGGCCCGGCGAGGGCCCCCGGAGGCCGAAAATTAGGAAAAACCTTCCGTCATGCTTTTACGAAGCCTAAATTGGGGAAAAAAACGATGAACAAATATGAAAAATCTTCCGTCGTGCTTTTTAGGATGCAGAAAATTAGGAAAAATTATGAACATTAGAAAATTTGGAAAAACCTTCCTTGGGGGGTATGGGTGGCCAGCCCTGCCCCACGCGCCCCAGGCGCAGGCAACCGGCGCCGCGGCAAGGCCCACGACGAGGCCACCGCGTCCAGGGCGGAGTTTGCCCCGGTCGCCGCGGCGCCCTCCCCGAGACGCCGGGCCGCGCGTGGGAACCAACGACGCGCGGCGACGCGTTCGCCCTTTGGGCTGCAGGGGGGCTTCTTGAAGGCCGCCCCAGGGCCCTGGGGGCACGGGAGGCCCAAAGATCCAGCGCATTGGCCAAAATCAAGACGGAGGTGTTTCGCAGATATTTCGGCCCCTTCAGGGGCCCTCGCCGGGCCTCGGGACCGTCACAAAACGACTCGGGACGAAAAACCGGTCCCACGGGGAATGGGTCGGGACTTCCGGGGTCCGCGCCTTGAAAGAACCACGACGTCGGCTCTCTGGGGGTGCACATTTCTTCACTCCCCGGTTATCCGTTCGGCGGTGGACAAACCTCCCCTTGGTGAAAACGGCCTGGGACCGAAATCGACGGACCTGGACCCGCAAAAATAACGGCCGCGATGCCCTCTCGCGAACCGAAAACGGCCGATTCCTTACTCGACGTGTCAAGGTAGGAAGTCTGTCCACCCCCGATCCGTCCCCCCATCAATGCACGCCCGACGTAGTGATTTTTTCATTGCGTCGACCCCCAGAGGTCCCGACCCGTTCCCCATGACCGGCTTTGCATCCCGAGTCGTTTTTTGACGCTCCCGAGGCCCGGTGAGGGCCCCCAGAGGCCGAAAATTATGAAAAACCTCCCGTCATGTTTTTTTTCATTACTCTAGAGGGTCTGGGTGATCCGCCCCCCCATTAAGGAACGCCCGATCTGGAAGCTGACGCCGTCCTCCGGCACCTCTCGGGCGCGCGACCCTGCCCGCCCCTCTCCCTGGGCACCCCGGCGTCGCAGCTCTTGCGGCACGGGCGATCTCTCGCCCTGCTTCGGGCCCCGGGGCCCTTAAATATCGACCTGGCTCGAGGAGTACAACAGGATCATGGGGTCCAAAGCTCTGGGCGTGATTTCTACGATGGTGTTGCACTGTTTCGCGACGTCGGATCTCAAGGTCCCTTGCGACCGCTTTCCGTGACTCGGCGACATGCCAGAGTGACCCTCGGCAGGAGCGGTCCTGGGCAAGAGTGGCTGCAGGGGAGGGCCCAGCCCAGACCCCCGACGTCATGATATTTTCATAACGTCGACACCCAGAGTTCTCGACCCATTCCCTGGGACGGGCGTTTCATTCTGAGTCGTATTCTGACGGTCCTGAGGCCCAGGAAGGGCCCCCGGAGGCAGGAGACAATGAAACACATGCAGTCATGGTTTGTTCCCCATCCATCCTGTGTTGGGTCCTCGTTTTGAAGAGACAGCGCCCCGCGTTCTCCTCCTCCTCCTCCTCCTCCTCCTCCTCCTCTCCTCCTTCTCCCCCTCCTCCCTCCTCCCATGCGAGCCTCTGCCCTCCGCACGTCCATTTCGGCACTCTGCCCTCCGCATGCCCATGTCGGAACACCCCTCACACGGTTCGTGGCCCCACAGGCAGCTCTTTCCAAGGCCCAAGTGGCCGCATTCACATGCGTCCACCCCGCTCACCGCATGCCCATTTCGGCACACCCCTCACACAGCTCGTGGCCCCAAAGGAATTCCACCAAAAGCCCCAGCGGCCGCGTTCACATGCGTCCACCCCGCCCAACGCATGCCCATTTCGGCACACCCCTCACACGCTCCATGGCCCCACAGGCAGCTCTTTCAAAGGCCCCAGAGGCCGCGTTCACATGCGTCCACCCCGCCCACCGCATGCCCATTTCGGCACACCCCTCACACAGCTCGTGGCCCCATAGGGAGCTCCACCCAAGGCCCCAGCGGCCGCGTTCACATGCGTCCACCCCGCCCACCGCATGCCCATGTCGGCACACCTCTCACACAGTCTGTGGCCCCATAGGCAGCTCTTCCCAAGGCCCCCGTGGCCGCGTTCACATGCGTCCACCCCGATTTCGGCACACCCCTCACACAGTCCATGGCCCCATATGTAAGCTCCCCCATGCTCCCCAACCATCCCGTATTGGGACCTCGTTTCGAAAAGACAATGCCCCGCGTTCCTTCCTCCCTCCTCCGCCTCTGTGCCTCTGCCCTCTGCATGTGTCTGTTTCGGCACATCCCTCACACGTTTCATGGCCCCGTAGGGAACTCCACATATGGCTCCAGTAGCAGGGTTCGCGCCCTGCCCCATTTCGGCACACCTGACCCACACGATTCGTGGCCCCATAGGGAACTCCACCGAAGGCCACATGGGGCAGGGTTCGCATGGCGGCCCCGCTCAATTTCGGCACACCCTTCACACGCTTCGTGGCCCCATAGGGAGCTCCACCGAAGGCCCCAGTGGTAGGGTTCGCAGGGCCGCCCCGCCCAATGTCGGCACACCCCTCATACTCGCGGCCTCATAAGGAGCTCTACCGAAGGCCCCAGTAGCAGAATTCACATGGCGGCATCGCCCCGTTTCGGCACACCCCTCACACGCTTCGTGGCCCCATAGGGAGCTCCACCGAAGACCTCAGTGGCAGTGTCCCATTTCGGCACACCACTCACACGTTCCGTGGCCCCATAGAGAACTCCACCGAAGGCCACATGGGGCAGGGTTCGCATGGCGGCCCCGTCCCATGCCGGCACACCCCTCACACGCTTCGTGGCCCCATAGGGAGCTCCACCAAAGGCCCATGTGGCAAAGTTCGCATGGCGGCCCCGCTACAGTTCGGCACACCCCTTACACGCTTCGTGGCCCCATATGGAGCCCCACCGAAGGCCCCAGTGGCAGTGTTCGCATGGCGGCCCCGCCCCATTTCGGAACACCCCTCACACGCCTCGCGGCTTCATATAGAGCTCAACCGAAAGGCCTCAGTGGCAGGGTTCGCATGGCGGCCCCGCCCAATGTTGGCACACCCCGCACACCGAGGCACCATAGGGAGCTCCACCGAAGGCCCCAGTGGCAGGGTTCGCATGGCGGCCCCGTTCAATTTCGGCACACACACACACACGCACGTCTCGTGCTCCATATGGGAGCTCCACCGAAGGCCCCAGTGGCAGGGTTCGAATGGCGGCGCCGCCTGCATTTCGGAACACCCCTCACACGCCTCGCAGCCCCATATAGAGATCCACGGACGGCCCCAGTGACAAGGTTCGTATGTTTTCCTCTGTTTAGTTTGACACACCCCTCACATGTTTTGTGGTCCCTAGGGAGCTCCGCCGAAGGCCTCAGTGGCAACGCCCGCATGCGTCCCCCAGCCCATTTCGGCACACCCCGCACACGTTTCGGGGTTTCCATCCGCGTTGTCCCGTGCTTCATCCCTTTCGCGACTTCCTACGAGGAGAAGGCAGTATCCTGCGTTACTCGCAGCTGCAGGTGGTTTGGTTGGGTCCTCCGCCAGGCTAAGTCATGACCCCTCGCACCAGCGAAGGGTCACTCTCGCGCGAAGCCTAAGGACGGCCCCCCGCACCCTCGAGGCCCCCTTCTGGCCACCAGGACCTCTCCAGGGGTGCGATTTGACGGGGATGCCGCGGCGAATCCAGCTGCGGCGACGACGGAACTGTAGCGGCATCGCTGTATATCTCTGTCTGTTACTCTATTGAGATCAGACCATACATGGAAGGACAGGAACGGAGCAGGAGAAGGAGGAGGAGGAGGGGGTTGGTAGAGGAGGAGCAGGCGGAGGAGGAGGAGGAGGAGGAGGAGGAGGGAGAGGAGGATGAACGGGAGGATGAGGATGAGGATGAGGATGATGATTTGGTAGAGGAGGAGCAGGCGGAGGAGGAGGAAGAGGGGGAGGAGGAGGAGGAGGAGGAGGACGAGGAGGAGGAGGAGGAGAGGAAAAGCAGGACGAGGACGAGGAGGAGGAGGAGGAGAAGCAGCAGGAGGAGGAGCAGGAAGAGACGGAAAACCACGAGGAGGAGAAGGAGGTGGAGGAGAGGAGGAGGAGGAGGAGGAGCAGGAGAAGGAGGAGGAGAAGGAAGGAGGAGGAGGATGAGGAGGATGAGGAGGAGGAGGGGCGGAGGAGGGGGAGGAGGAGGAGGAGGAGGAGGAGGAGGAGGAGGAGGAGGAGGAGGAGGAGGAGGAGGAGGAGGAGGAGGAGGAGGAGGAGAAGGAGGAGGAGGGAGGAGAGGAGGAGGAGGAGGAGGAGGAGGAGGAGGACGAAGGAGAGGAGGAGGAGGACGAGGAGGAGGAGGAGGAGGAGGAGCAGGAGCAGGAGGAGGAGGGGAAAAAGGAGGAAAAGGAGGAGGAGGAGGAGCAGGAGGAGGAAAAGTAGAAGGTGGGCAGAGGAGGAGCAGGTGGAGGAGGAGGAGGAGGAGGAGGAGGAGGAGGAGAAGGAGAAGAGGAGGAGCAGGAGGAGGAGGAGCAGGAGGGGGAGAAGGAGGAGAAGGGGGAGGAGGATGGGATGGGACGGCGTTCGCAGGTCCGCGTGGGACACGCCGCGCGTCTACTCCTCGCTCAGAAAACGGTAGGTTGCGCCAGGTGAGATACGTTTCAAGATGCGTCTGGTAGGACTCACTGGTGAGCGCCACGTCTGTCCATGATAATCCACGTTGGTTGAAATAATTAAAGATTTTTCTCTCCCATCGCCATGCCCGAAAACGTCGTGGATGTCCCTGCCAACCGGAGTGCTTCGCCGCAAAGTCGCGCAAGTGGCTAATCGACCTCCAATGCAAGACTTTGTATGTGATCCGGTGGATGTCCGCCGCGCCCTGTCTGACCAGCTTGCCTGCCCATTCAAACTGTGTCCTGCGCCAAGAATCCACCCACGGCTCAACCTCATATTGCCCCATTGTTTTGGATACCAGTTTCTCACAGCGCTCGCAATAATCGCCAACTTCTTCTTCAGGGAACTTCGCAATGCGCAAGATTGTTCTGATCATACGCCGCTGCACTCCAGAGATATGCCGCTCCTGGTGGGCAGTGAGATTCCAAGCTCCAGACCCCCATAGTAAAGTCGCCTTGACAATCATGTCGAGAAATTGCAGCTTTCGCCTCAAAGAGCCCCGCTTGTGCGTGAAAAGGGCAAGGTACTTATTGAAGCACGCCCACGCCTTGGTCACGCGGTGGCCGAGCTCCTTCTCGAAGGAATTGTCCATGGTGAAGCGTGTGCCCAGCATCTGGAAACCCTCGCTCCTCCCGGCGCGGGCCACGACCTTGCCGTCTATGGTGATCTGCATAGGGATATCGTCTGAAGCCGTCGTGCACCACGTACAATCTGCCACTGGCACAATCCACCCAGCTATCCGCAGTCTTGCCAGGAAAGCCCGCGCCATCTTTTGCAACATGTCACAGGATGTGCCAAAAAGCCAGAAGTTATCAGCAAAGCACAGCACGCCGTAGTAGTCACCATCGATGCATACCCCCCATTGTTTTTTCACACGCTGCTTGTTGAAAGCCTCGATGTCTGTGTCCAGAATTAAATTGAAAACATTAGGAGCGTCAGGTCCGCCCTGGCAGAGGGACCGAATGCGTGAAAGCATATCGCTGCGAACGTCCCCGGCCACCACCGTCGACTTCAGCCTGCGAATATCCCGGAAGATTGCTGCCACTGTGACCTTTTTTCAGCCCCTTCTTAACAAGTCTCTTCTCGCCGATGCAGTGGTTGACGGTGTCGTATGCCTTGAACAAGTCGCCGTCGAATACGTAGAGAGCTGGCAGCACGTGGGTCCATTCCACGTGCTTCTCGACGAGGTTGCGAAGCATGAGTATGACGTCCAATGCTTGGCGCCTGGGGCGGAAAGCAAATTGGAATTGGCTGAAATTGTCAAGAAGCCCACCTTCAAGCTCCATCAGACAAGCAAGGTACACCTTCATCAACACAGGGATGACGGTGATCGGCCGCAACTTCGAGGGATGTGTGGGGTCAACTTTTTTGAGGATACACTGCGCGAGGACGTCATCCCACGCAGTCTCTTCGTCTTCCGATTTGTGGTTGAGGAGTCGTAATTTGAACGCTTCTGCCAAGACGTCGAACATGTCCTCGTCCAGGCTTGCCAACATCTCTGCGACAATGTTGTCGTCCGCGCACGTCTTGTTATGAGCAAGCTTGTAAACAACCCTTCTAACGAGGTATCCGTCGAACTTCTGAAACATGTCCAACACGTTCGTGTGCCATGACTTGTAAATCCAATCCGGAAGTGCTTCGCGAAGAGACCTTTCGTCATTGTACAGCTCTTGAAAATATGACGTAAGCATGCGGCCCTTCTCCTCTGCGCTCAACGCTAAGTCGCCGGTGTTCGCATCTTCGAAGAAGGGCACCGTAGTCCGCTTGAAGGGTCGCACTGGGCGTACTTTCAATATGGCATCGTCCATTTGTGCATCGATCCTCAGCCTTGCGAGTCGACGTCGCTGTTTGGTGGTTTGGTTCGCAAGCAAAGCTCGGGCCAGGGGGTCTCGCTCGACTCGAAGAGCTCGCTGGATGCCGTCGAGATGTCGTTTTGCTCGTAGAATGTCTGCGTTGTCGCGCCGGGCCACGCGTTGACCCCGGCCGCAATTGGCAGCCTCAGAGGCGATGGCACAAGTGATCGAAGATAAGGTCGGAATCTCCTCCGAAAAATCGATCGTCCGCAACTGCGTGAGATTAGTGTCCACGTCTTCAAATGCTCCGGCCTTCGCGTCGCCGTGCATGTCATCGCCGATGCACCTCCCGACCTTCTTCACGAAGTCTATTTCGCCCCACTCCTGCAACAAGTACGGCCGCGTCCACCAAGAATTGGAGGAGCCCGGTTTGCCAGCATATGCGGCCATTTCGTCGGCCTCGTCGTTGCCAGCGATCCCGGTGTGCGACTTGACTTTGACGATCTTCACAAAGAAATGCAGCTTCAATTGATGCCACAAGTGACCCATGAGCGTAACCAGTTCGATGTTCTCCTTGGGGTAGAATCTTTCCAGTTAGGATGCCCACCACGTACAAGGGGCCCACCCCGAAAATCAATTTGTTGACGTCCCTCATCAAGGAGAGGTTGTCCGGATTGCGCGGGTCCCGCGTGGAGAGCAAGAACAATATAGCTTCTATCATTGCTGTGACCTCCCCCGTGTTGCTGGAAAAACGCTGGGCTCCGACATACATATCTTTGCGTGGTTCCGTGACAACTGGGCCTGCCGCCGCTAACAAAGTTGGACCGTCTCCAGCGGTGTCCCCAACGCTTTTCAAGACAAAACTCCAAGAAACGAAGTATGGACGATTCTTTCGGTATGAACAATGACCATCCGTGAATACATGCATGGCGTTGTTCTCGAACTCCTTGCTAACCTCCCCGTTGTAACCATGCCCGCTCTGGATAGATAGGCGATCCCGCACATTGTCCGCGAAGCTGAAGTCTGTCAGTCGCCATCCTATTGGTTTCGGCGTGGACTTCGTGGTGTTATGCCTCATCTTCGCGTCGACGGCTCCGCCGATGCCCCAGACAAGAGCACGATGATCCGAGGTAGTTGCATCCATCTCTGTCGGCCTGCACGTACACCTGCTTTCCAAAACCCGTGAAACCAACACAAAATCAATCTGCTTTGGGGCTGCCTTCAGGTTATAATGAGTGAAAATCCCATCGCGCTCGTTCTGGCTAAACGTGTTCAGTGCAACCAAGTCGTGCTCTAACATGAAATCCAAAAATGCTCTGCCTTTGCGTCCGGCTGGATGCTCTCCGAACGGTCCAATGAAATCCTCAAACAAACGATTACCATGTTCACGTAGTCCTAACCTGTCCTGCACATCCGCACCAATCAATAAGTGTCCACCCTCAGGTACTCCTACACAGAGCTTCTCAATGTCAGCGATGCTCTCCTTGTATGGCGCAAGGTCGCAATGAGGATAAAGATGAGCAGAAATGCACCTTATGTGCACCCCGGGGAGCTTGAAATCGATTGCAATCGCCCTCCCCTCATGCTTGAACGAATTCGGAACGATGTACTCGATGGCCGTCGCGTTAACGATGAAAGCCAATCTCCGCTGGCCCTTCCTGGAGCCTGCAGGGAAAACCAAGTGACCATCGTCGGTGCACTTCTTGAGAGCGCCGGTGAAACCCGTGAGTTCCTGGAGTAGGAGAACATGCCATTGGACCTCGCCCGAAATAGCGCGACAAAACTGGTTCCACTCCCGCAAGGCCAACCCCTCGACGTTCCAGCTCACTCCCCGGAACAATTGAACGTCAGCTCGGCCCCGGGCCCGTGTGTGACCAACCACGCCTGGGTCCACTATGTGTTCGCCCTCCCCCTCCCTACCTGTCCATGCACACAGCCACGTCCATCACACGAACTCCTCCTCCTTCTTGCTCCTGAGCGTCATGGCGTTCACCTCAAGCACCTTCGCGGCCAGGTCGAAATTCCCGAGCTTGTGCAGATGGTTGGTGATAGTCGGCCCGACCTCCAAGTCGAGGGTGTCCGGCTTCCGCTTGACGATCTGTACATTCTTGGTCTCGCCGTCCACGTCCAGCTTGATCCAGGCCATGCCGTTGACGTCGTTGTGCTTGATGGTCTTCCACCAGTCCTGCTCCGTCAGGCCCAATGGTATCATCGCAGCGTCCTTGACGGCTTTCACCACACCGAACACTTTACGACTCAAGAGCTGCTCGTCCCGTGATTTGTCGATGGTGTGGAAGAGGCTCTTACCCTTAAAAGCGAATGTCTTGCCCTTCATCTTCTTCAGGAAGCTCCACATGTCGTCGCAATGCCGAAAAACTATTTTCCATTTGCTCGACGGGTTGCCAATCGAAACGATGTCCTCGATCCCAAGGTTATCCACGATCTGCTCCCGGATGGAGTCCTTCAACACCTGGCTGTCCAAGTCCTCACTGAACCCACCCACGAATAGGACCCTCCGTTTGCCTAAGGGAAGAAGGTGCTGTTCGCTCAAACGTGTCTGTCCGTTCTCCGTCCTGCCTACCTCCCCAACCATCCCGCCTTTGCGGAACGCCTCGAACTCGCGCTCCAACTTCTGGTGCTGCTGCCGGACCTCGCTGATCTCCTCTCGCACCGCTTTGAATTCGCCGGTGGTGTGCTTGGAGAACTTGTCGAAACTCACCTTCACGTTCTGTACATCAGTCTTGACCGATTCGATCTGCCCACCCAGCGATCGGTTGAGAGCGTTGATGATCCGGTCGCCCTCTGACTCGTCGATCGTCTCCTTCCTTTTCTCTTTCTTCTCCTTCTTCTCCTTCTTCTCCCTCCTGTCCCTCTGCGAACGCTCCCGGGAGCTGCGAGAACGACCTGAGCGATCAGAATCGGACATCTCTTGCAGAAGTTGTGTGCGGTTCAGGGCGGCTAGGCAAAGGCTCCGAACGGCGCTGCCTCCTCGTTGGCACTTGAGCCAAAATGGCAAAATGGGGGAGGAGGAGGAGGAGGAGGAGGAGGAGGAGGAGGAGGAGGAGGAGGAGGAGGAGGAGGAGGAGGAGGAGAGGGAAAGTAGAAGGTGGGCAGAGGAGGAGCAGGTGGAGGAGGAGGAGGAGGAGGAGGAGGAGGAGGAGCAGGAGGAGGAGGATGAGGAGGGCCAGGAGGAGGAGGAGGAGAAAGACGAGAAGGATGAGGAGGAGGAGGGGAGGCAAGAGGAGGAGGAGGAGGAGGAGGAGGAGGAGGAGGAGGAAGAGGAGGCGGAGGAGGTGGGTAGAGGAGGAGCAGGAGAAGGTGGAAGAAGAGGAGGATGAGGAGGAAGACGAGGAGGATGAGGAGGGGAGGCAAGAGGAGGAGGAGGAGGAGGAGGAGGAGGAGGAGGAGGAGGAGGAGGAGGAGGAGGAACACAGGCGCCCCTGCGCCTCCACCCGCACGGCGCTCTCCTGGAAGGACGCGTCGGAGACGCCCACGGGCTCCAGCCAGTGCGTGGCCCCCGCCTCCTGCGCGCTCCTGGGGAAGCACCAACGCGGTACCGCCACCGCTGCTCCCTGGACCTCTCCCAGGGTGGCCAGAACTCAGAGGCGAACCCAGTGGCAAGACGAGGCCAGGACGAAATAACATCGGGTGAAGACAAATCGAGAAACTCTGAGGTCCGGCGGCTCTGGGGGATGTCTCGGGCGCCGCGGCCTTCTCAGAGCGTCCCGGAACGCGCTGAGAGCGTTCCAGAACGCTCTGGGATGGATTTGTCCTCGTCCTAGCCCCGTCCGATGTGGTGGCGACGAGGGCCTCGCAGGAGGCCCGAAAAGGGCGAAAAATATGCAAGGGGAGCGGCATGCGTAATTGGAGAGGGTCTCTAGTATCTCCTTCACATACGGGAGCGAGGAGGGAAGGACGAGTCTTATTGCCAGCCGAGAGCTGGGGGGGGGGGGGCAGCATTGAAGACCCTCTGGGGTTACTATTTCTACCTCTGTAGGGAGAAGGAAACGCACGACCACCACCTGCAGGATGGAGGCATAGTGTGGTCAGGGGTGGCGGTGGTGTACATCGTTTCGGGCGCTCTCGCGGAGCATCGTGCACGCCCGCATCCCGCACACCAGCTCACCCTGATTCCCCCCAGTTGGTGGTGGTGGTGCGCTTCCTTCGGCGGCGAGCGAGGGGGGGAAGCGAGAAGTAGAAGGCCCTCTCGGCAGGCGGCGGGGGGGGGCTTCTCGGAAGGCCCCTGGCCTTCGGAGAAGTCCTCTGTGCCTCCAGGGGGAGGCTCCGAACCCGTCGTGGCAGACCGGGGGGGCTGCCGAGCCTTCCGAGAAGGCCCGCCCCCTGTCCCAGGCCCCCGACGTCATGATTTTTTCATGACGTCGACCCCCAGAGATCTCCACCCATTCCCCGGGACCGGCTTTGCATCCTGAGTCGTTTTTTGACGCTCCCGAGGCCCGGTGAGGGCCCCCGGAGGCCGAACATGAAGGAAAAACCGCCCGTCATGATTTTTGTCATTACTCGAGGGGGTCTGGGGTCGCTTCCCCCCCCGGGGCTCGCCGCCGAGGCGTGCTCCCGGCTCGGGGCTCCAGCCGTTGCAGGTGCCGACCAGCACCAACGGCTCCCGCACGCTGCACGGGCGCGGCCCGGGCGCGGGCGCCGCGGGCGGGAGCGTCTGCCCGGGCCGCTCCTCCGATGGGGCCACGGCGTGGGGGGCTCGAGGTTGCAAGGCCGCTTGGCATCGTTGAACCCCAGAGATCCGATGTCGTGATTTTGTCAAGGCGGGGCCCCCAGAAGTCTCGACCCATTCTCCAGGACCGGTTTTCATCCTGAATGGTTTTTTGACGGTCCGGGGGCCTTGCGAGGGCCCCTCGAGGCCGAAAAACAGGAAAAACCTACGTCTTGATTTTTGTCGATACGTTGGATCTCTGGGACCGACCCGTATCCCCGTGGGCTTGGCCTGGGACCCACTGGCCGATTTGTCCCCCAGAATGACGACGTATCCGCTGTTTCCCTCGGGTCTCGAGGGGTACCTCCCCAACAAGGTTTGGATGGTGGGGGTTTGGACGAGGGGTCTGGATGCGGACGGGGATGGGCACAGAGGTCGGTGCAACGATACCGAGGCTCGAGGCGTTCCAGGCTTTCGGACGCCTTGGTCTTTGTTCCCCGGCTGTCCAGCCTCGGGATGCTCCCCAGCAACTGCGCCTCGCCCCGAGACCCCCGACGTAATGTGTTTTCGCTACGTCGACCCCCAGAGGTCCCGATCCCCGCTCCCCATGACCGGCTTTGCATCCTGAGTCGTTTTTTGACGCTCCCGAGGCCCAGCGAAGGCCCCTGGGGGCCGAACATTTTGGAAACACCTTCCGTCATGATCTTTGTCATTGCTCGAGGCGGTCTGGGCCGAGAGCGCTCCCCGGGGGTGCCCCGGATCGTCCCGAGCGGCCGCCGGGCGGCCCGTGCGGCCGGGGAGTCTCGGCCTCAGAACAAATCGCGCGAAGATCCGCTGAGAAACATCGCGCGCTTGGAATCTGACGTGTGACGACGCTGGCAGATGGCAGAGACACCGCCACCCGAAGACCCTGCCAACTCTACGCAAACTGACCTCATCACGAAGCGTCCTATTCAGGCCACGCCCCTGCTCTCGCGTGTGCATCTGCTGCAGTCCGGCTGCGCAGTCGCTGCAGGCCGGCGCAGGGGGTCGGAGCAGCACGGGGCAGACCTCGGCGCTGGCCCGCGCCGCGCGAGGGGCGACGGGCCCCCGACAGCGAGGCCTCGCGCGGAGCCCTGGCGGGGGAAAAGGCCGTCGTTAGGTCGGGCAGCGGCGTCGGCACCTTCTCGTCCTCCGACCTGCTGCTGCTTCGAGAGGCCTCGACTGCCGACGCTCTCGGCGAGGCGCAGCTGCTGGAACCCATGGCTAGAAGAAGAAGAAGAAGAAGAACAAAAACGCCTCAAACATTGACTCTCCGCGCGGATTGGGGTCCAGCGCACATCCAGGAAATCCGCGCGGAGCGCCAAAAGTGTATGCTTATAGCGTTACCTTTCCTTCTGCGAATGACAACAAAAGGCTACAGGAGGATTTTAGACGACAAATAAGCAGTAGTCAACAAATAAAGTAAAGTACCCTAAAATTGTTAGAAACAACAAAAAACGCTATATTCTCGCAAATTTCGGCCCCCCTAGGGGCCCTCGCCGGGCCTCGGGAGCGTCAAGAAACGACTCAGGATGCAAAGCCGGTCCTGGGGAAGGGGTCGAGACTTACGGAGACACGCCATTGGATCTCTGGGAACCCAGACCCCCGACGTCATGATTTTTTCATGACGTCGACCCCCAGAGATCTCGACCCATTCCCCGGGACCGGCTTTGCATCCTGAGTCGTTTTTTGACGCTCCCGAGGCCCGGTGAGGGCCCCCGGAGGCCGAACATGAAGGAAAAACCGCCCGTCATGATTTTTTCGCTACTCGAGGGGGTCTGGGAACGACGCCGCGCGCGGATCCCTGGCGGGAAAAAAGGGCGATCGGGCCCCTGCATCAGCGATATTTGAGCGGGCGATCGGGGGTCGGTGTGCCCCGCCCTACAGCAGGAGATCGCCTACAAAAAAAAACTTCAATGGGCCCCAGGACACACAAATAAATACACACAAATAAAAAGATTCCCCATATTTTCCAAATTGTTGTGGTTTTTGCCTTCCCCCCCAATTCCCATATTTTCCTATATTTTCTGAGGTATCGACGATTAATTGTGTCTGTGTGTTTCTTTCCCTCCTGACTACAGCAGGAGATCGCCTACAAGAAAAACCTCCCATGAGAAGCCCAAGCCTTCGACCCCAGGGCGTCCACTGGGGTTTGGTGTGGGAGCGTCACGCTGTGCATTGCAAAACCGTCGAAACCCAAGAAGCTGAAGGGCACCCTGGAGGCAAGGCAGGGTGTTTCTTGGCATGGTCTTCCACTGTAAGCACCCCTCCCGTAGGAAGAAGAAACAACTGCATAATCATGCACGATTGGCGCTCCGCGCGGATCTCTTGGATCTGCGCCTGACCCCCCTTGGCGCGCGGCGCGCGCCAGGCGCCAGAGGCGCCGCTGGGGGGGCCCCGGCGCGGATCCAAAAGTTTATGTTTATGCAGCTGTTTCGTCTTCGATCCCCGACGCTGCCCCTGGATACTCATCACTCACTCACTCTCACGGCTGGTTCGGGCTAGTTCCTGCAGCCGTCCCCAGCCCTGCCCCCCCCAAACAGGAAGCAGGGCCGGCTTCAAGGTGGCGGCACTAACCGAAAGGGGGGGCTGCCCCAAGAGGTGAGGGAGAAACGCGGAGTGGCACGACACGCCCTGGATCCTCGTCCTCGTCCTCCTCGTCCTCGGAGGGGGTGGCGGGCTCGTCTGGTGGCGACGAGCCGTCCTGCCTCAGCGGTTTGGACACGTGCCGGACGTAGCGCCGGACCTCCCGGTGGATCTGGTCGAAGTCGCGCCCCTGCTTTTGGGAGGCATCTCCTGGAAATCCTTCGCTAGGACGGTTGCCCGCCCGTCGGAAGATGCAGGTGGGAGCTAAGCAGCTGAGTGGGCGCATGAAGTAGGAAGGCGGAACAAGCTTGGATGTTCATTCTGGGGACCCTCCTGCAGGCACTCGCTCGACTCCTGCGTCCAAAGCCGCGTCGAACGTCCGTCAATTTGAATCGACCTTCGGTCGAACCTGAGTCGAACCTGAGTCGAACCTTGAGTCGAACCTGAGTCGAACCTGATGTGGGAGCATGAGATTATAATACGGGAAGAAACAACGGCATAAACATAAACGTTGGCACTCCGCTCGAGTCTCTTGGATCTGCGCCCGACCCCCCTCCCTGGCGCGCGGGGCGCGCCCTGGGGGTCCCAGCGCGGCTCCAAGAAATCCGCGCGGAGCGCCAAACATTTCTGTTTGTGGCATTTTTCCTTCTTCAACAGTAGGGACGCGGAAAAAGTAGACTGGGTTCGGGCCCGCCCAGCGAACAACAACAAGCAGCAAGAGCATACCGTTTCTTGGGGCGACGAAGTCGATGCATATCCACTGCTCCCTGGCTGGGCTCATCCTGAACCCAGCAGCGGTGTATACGCCAAGCCCTCCTGGCTTGGCCAGGAGAGCGGATGCACAGCTCCAGGGTTCAGGATGGGCCTGGCCCAGGAGCCAATGGACGTGTATAGATTTCTTAGCCCGATTCTTGAGGCAGCCAAGCGCTTGCAGCAAAAATCCCGGAATCTCCCAAAGCGTGTGCTGGCGGCGCCCACAACCCAGACCCCCGACGTCGCGTTTTTTGGTCATGACGTCGACCCCCAAAGGTCTCGACCACTTCCCCGCGAACCGGCTTCTCCTTGGGACACCCGAAATGGGTACCGAAAGAATGGGTACAATGCCCAACAACAAATGTTGTCCCACACCAACAGCGGCCGCTGGTGGGCAGGCGGCCTTCTGTCTCGAATGGGCACAGACCGCGGCGGCGCGGACAGCGAGTCCTGTTAAAAATGAACAGGAACTGCTGTTGGGCATCGTACCCATTCTTTCCGTGCCCATCTCGTTCGTGCAGATCTCCTCCGGAGTCGTTGTTTGACGGCCCCGAGGCCCGGCAAGGGCACCCCAGAGGCCGAACATCGCGGCAGGCCTGCCGTGGTCTGGGAGGCGGGTGCCGGCGGCGCCCACGAGGGGTGCGGGTGCGAGGTGGGCGGCCGCCCGAGAAGGCCTCCTGCAGGCAGATCTCGGAGGAAATAGGAAACATGGACCGAACATATTCCCCTAAAAGCCCCAAATCGTGGAAGCATCGTCCCCAGGCTATTGTTCGACTCTTTTTGAACATTCCTCCTGCAGAGGGACGGGGCCCGACTTGAGCCTTCTCGCAAGGCACGGGGCCCTTCTCGGGAGCTGGCCCCCGAGAGTCCATCGCCGGGGGTCGCCAGGGGGCCTTCACAGGGGGCCCCCCTGCCCCCTGCCGCCCCAAAGCCGTCTCGGCTGCACACGCAAGGACCCCGAGATCCTCGCGATGCAAATTTCGTTCGCACCGGGCGTTTTCGCCCCACTGCGGGCCCCGGGACCCTCACAGATCGATCCGGCTCGAGAAATGACGCAGAAAGATGTTGTCTGGGGCTCTGGTCGTGGTTTTCTGCGATGCTGCATTCTTGTTTGCAGCGTCGGATCTCAGGGGAGTGACCCTGGATAAGAGTGACCTTTGGCGCGACGGCACGCATGCCGCTGCTACGTCATCGCGCGCCGCGATCGGGGGACCCCGGTAGGCCCGCACCAAAGGTCACTCCGGCGAAGCCGAACGTCCACCCCTGGCCTCCTGGAAGGCCGACCCCACTGGACCACACGCTCGTAGGCTACTCGGCCCGATCAAAACGCCACCGAACCTGATGTGGCCAGATGAGACTCAAGACTGAATCAGGACGGGATTATGCCGGACTGAACGGGCATGCCAGATTATCGGAGGCGAGCCCAAGGGGAAGCGAGAAGGGGTAGGCCTTCTCAGAAGTCTCGGGAGCCCCCCGGCCATCTGAGACATGTTCTTAGCCTTCCCCGGATGCACAGAAAAACAACTCTCAGAAGGCGGGAGGGTTTCTAAGAAGCCACGCCGCTTTCTGAGAAGGCCTTCTCCTTTCCACTTCCCCCCCTCGCTCTCCGCCGAGAGATTGGGCTGGTCTTCGACCACGGATCTACCAGCGCCTCTGCCGAATTCGACCTCCCAGGAGTTGCATCCTGACCTTCTGGCGCTCGTTCTCCACGTGCCTCCTCACAGCGAAGGCGGCCTCCGAGGCGCTCACGATCGACTCCGTCACGAGCTCCACGGAGGCCTCGCGAGACCTGCCGCGCATCCAGTGCGGCCGCCCCTCCTCTCAGGGCAGGGCCACGTTGAGTCAACGGCGGCTCTGCCGCCCAACGCAGCTAAAGGAGACCAAGGAGAGACAAATACCTAAACACAAATTCACGGATTCACCATCTTTGTCCATACTTCCCGGACTTTCTTATGACCCTCAACTTCCACAGATTCCCACCACTTTCGTGGAGATCAGCGTTCTTGGTGTCCGTGCTCATTTCTCCCTCCAGGTCCCGCCGCGCTTTCTCTGCCTCAATTACTTCCCGACGTGCCCCACCCGTAGCCCGGCTGGCGCCTGCACCTGCTTCGACTCGCTTGTGCCGCTGCCTTGACAAGTTGATGTGGTCCCCACCGACTGCTCCCAGGGGGGGCGCACCTCGAGACAACGGTCGGGCGTTGCTGAAGGAGCTCCTGGCTCATTTTGCCCCCAGCTGTTCGCTCAGTTCTGGAACCACTGGGGCCCTCTGGGCCTCCTTACGGGTGCCCTGAGGCCGCGGGGGCCTCCTTGGAGCTCCCTGGGGGCTCCTTGGGCCAGGGGGCACTTCTGGCCACTCTGCCGCCCGACGAACTCCCGGCGACGACGTCTCCCCGCAGCCTCGGCCAACGCGCGCGAGACTGGCCGGCGGGCCGCCAGCTTTCCCCACGAGGAGGAGGAGGATGACGAGGAGGAGGAGGAGGAGGAGGAGGAGGAGGAGGAGGAGCAGGAGCAGGAGAAGGATGGGGTGGAGGAGGAGGAGGAGGAGAAGAGGAGAAGGAGGAGGAGAAGAAGGAACAGGAGAAGGAGGAGGACGAGGAGAAGCAGGAGGAGCAGGAAGAGGAGGAGGAGGAGAAGAAGAAGAGGAGGAGAGAGGAGGAGGAGGAGGCAGGAGGAGGAGAAGAAGGAGTTGGAGGACGAGGAGGAGAATGAGGAGGAGGAGGAGGATGAGCAGGAGAAGAAGGAGGAGGAGGAGAAGGAGGAGGAGCAGGAGGAGGAGGAGGAAAGGAAAAGGGGAAGGAGGAAGGGGAGGAGGAGGAGGAGGAGGAGGAGGAGGAGGAGGAGGAGGAGCAGGAGGAGGAGAAGGAGGTGGAGGAGGAGGAGGAGGAGGAGGAGGAGGAGGAGGAGGAGGAAGGGGTGGAGGAGGTGGCCCCCTCCTCCTCCTCCTCCTCCTCCTCCTCCTCTTCCTCCTCCTCCTCTGTCTCCGTTTTCAGCTTCCAGTGTCGGCAGCAGAATCCGCAATCCACAGGGAGCAGAAATTAGAGCAGAGAAACTGGAAGAGAGACTCTAAAGACGGACGTATCCACACCGCCTGCTGTCCTCTCAGCGGTGCGCCACGCCCGAAACCATGCCTTCTGGCCATCGGGCCGCGGCCTTCCTTGCGAAGAGCCAGGGGCCGCCTCGCAGCATGCTCGCTGCTGGGCCTCTCGCTGCAAAGCACCCCATCCCCAGACCCCCGACGTCATGATTTTTTCATGACATCGACCCCCAGAGATCTCGACCCATTCCCCGGGACCGGTTTTTCATCCTGAGTCGTTTTGTTGACGGCCCCGAGGGCCGGTTAGGGTCTCCAAAAGGCCGAAAATTAGGAAAACCTCCCGGCATGATTTTTTCATTACCAGAGGGGGTCTGGGTCACATGTGCAGGCGCCGCCTCGGGAGCGCTCCACCGTTCCGAGCACCAGAAGATGGTGGGCGGGCTCGGGATCCCCTGCCCGCAAACGATGCCCCCCCCTTCCTCCCCGCTCCCAGCTCCGGATCGGCCAACGGACCGCCCGTGGCCCCCCCCCTCTCCTTTTGCTCCTCCTCCTCCTCCTCCTCATCTTCTTCTTCTTCTTCTTCTTCTTCCTCCTCCTCCTCCTAATCCTCCTCCTCCTCCTCCTCCTCCTCCTCCGCCTCCTCCTCCCGCTCCAGATGGGCCCCTTGACCACTCCCAGGGCCCCTCCCGGACCATCTTCCGAAGCGGATGCCCAGCCGGGGGCGACGAGGGTCCCCCCCCAGGGACCCTCCTCCCCCCAAAAAATTGGCGGGAAACGCCCAGGGTTGGGTCGGGCCTGTCCCCCTACCGGCGGATGTTGGGCGAAAAGTTCAAAATACTTCAAAAAATCCAAACACTTCAAAATACGACCGGGACGGGCATCGGCTACACGCAAGAGCGACCCTGCAGTCAACACGTGCAATAAGGACGCACGATAAGGATGCAAGGGCCTTGGAAGGTCATGTCGACACTTTGCGGGCAGGGCGCGGCCAGCGAAAGCGGCCAAGGATCGACCGAAGGAGAAGGCTGCAAGGGTAACCTTGGGAAGTCGCTCATCCCTACTATGCGGTCTGACTGTGCAGGGATAAACAAATAAGACGAAGCTAGGACGAGTAAAGCTGGGTGAGGATATATCGAGGAGCTCTGAGATCCCGCGGCTCTGCAGGATGTCTCGGGCGGCGCGGCCTTCTCAGAGCGTTACAGAACGCTCTGAGAGCGCTCCGGAACGCTGTGGAACAGACTGATCCTCGTCCTGGACCCGCCAGAAAGCGGCCAGCAGAGCCATCGACTTTCGGAGGCCTGGGCGGACATCTTGGATCGGCGCTGCGCCCCCCCCCCCCCTCCCTCCCTGGCGCGCGGAGCGACCCAGGGGCGACGCCGAAGGTGCCACCAGGGCATGGGGGGCCCAGCGCCAATCCACGAAGTCCGCGCGGGCTTCCCAATCAATTCGTATTTCTACCGATTTGTTCTTCCCAGACCCCCGACGTCATGATTTCTTAATAAAGTCGACCCTGAGAGGTCTCGACCCATTCCCCTGGACAGGTTTCATCCTGAATCGTTTTTTGACGGTCCCGAGGGCCAGTACGGGCTTCCGGAGAATTCGGAAAAAAAAACTCACGTCGTGAGTTTTGCACTAACCTTAGGTCGGGCCTGTCCCCCTACAGGCGGATTTTGGACGAAACTAAAAATTACCCCAGAAATGCCCAACAAATATTCAAAAGTGGTCAAAGTGTCGTCCCCTGACTATTTTTTGACTATTTTGGAATTTCCCCCCTGTAGGGGGACAGGCCCGACAGTGACTGGCCCTCGTGCCCACGCCTCCGTCCGACGCCGCAGCTTCTGACCACCCAGACCCCCTCGAGTAATGAGAAAATCATGACAGAAGGTTGTTCTTTTTCTTCCAGCGGGGGCCCTCGCTGGGCCTCGGGAGCGTCAAAAAACGGCTCAGGATGCAAAGCCGGTCCTGGGGAATGGGTCGCGACTTCCGGAGACCGCGCATTGAAACAATCACGACATCGGATCGCTGGGGCCCTCCTCCCCACGCCTCCGTCCGACGCCGCAACTTCTGACCACGTGGCTCCCCAGAGGTCTGGCAGGCCAGTCTGCCTCCAACGAGAAATCGGAGCCCGAATCGGAATCCCAAGATGAATCAAGTCAGACTCGGAAGCCATCGAAGTCGAATCGAATCGGATCGGAGGAATCGAAACGAGCCCTGCCCCAGTCGTTTTTGATGGTCCTGGGGCCTGGCGAGGGCCCATGGGGCCCAAAAACAGGCAAAGCCGTCCGTCGTGTTTTTTTCTCACAGCGGGGGGAGTCGTGTATCCACTGGCCCCGATCACTCCACGACCTGGGAGAATCAGGCCTTGCAGGATCCTGCAGGATCCTGCAGGATCCCGCAGGATCCTGCAAGATCCTGCGCCCAAGCCCGGGTCAATGCACCCCTGGCTCTGCAGGATCCTGCAAAATCTGGCACTCTGACTGGCCCCCGTTTGCATTTACCCCCGTCCTTTGATTTGGACGCCCGATTGGGGTACGGAAAACATGGGCACAATGCTCAACAACAAATGCTGTCACAAACCAACACCAGCCGCTGTTGGGCAGGCGGCCTCCTGTCTCAAATGGACGCAGCCCGCGGCGACGCCGACAGCGGCTCCTGCTCAAAGTGCACACGCAAAAACTGCTGCCGGCCCTCGTGCCCGTTCTTTCCGTACCCACTTCGTGCGTCCCGACCCCAGACCCCCGACGTAATGATTTTTTCATTACGTCGACCCCCAGAGGTCCCGACCCTTTCCCCATGACCGGCTTTGCATCCTGAGTCGTTTTTTGACACTCCCGAGGCCCAGTGAGGGCCCCCCGATGCCGAAAATTAGGAAAAACCTCCCATCATGACTTTTTCATTACTCGAGGGGATCTGGGACTGGAGCCCCGAAGGAAGTCGGTAACCCGATCCTCCGGCAGCCGCAGGAGCCGGTCCACGATCGCCCCCGCCGCGCCCCCGACGCTGCCGCCCCCCAGCGCCAGGGCGTCCATCAGCCACATGGAGCTGCGGGCGCCCGGGGCGGGGGCCGCCATGGGAGCCCCGGCCGCCGGCCCTCCGGCGGGCGCTGCGCGTGGGCCGCCCTCTGGTCGTGCGGCGTCGCGCCGCCGACGCCGGGGGCGGCGGCGAGGGCAGGGAGAAGGGCCAGGAGGACCACAGGCGACGGACGCCAGACGACGGACACGACGGCGGCGGCGACGACGACGACGACGACGACGACGACGACGACGACGACGAGGGCGGAGACGACGACGAGGACGAGGACGACGGCGAGGACGAGGACGACCAGCACGGGGACGAGGACGAGGACGTCGACGAGGACGAGGACGACCAGGACGGGGACGAGGACGAGGACGGCGGCGAGGACGAGGACGGCGGCGAAGACGAGGACGAGGACGAGGACGAGGACGAGGACGACGACGACAACGACGACGGCGACGGCGACGGCGACGGCGACGGCGACGGCGACGGCGACGACAACGGCAACGGCGGGCTCCCGCGTGGGGCGTCCAGGGCCGGCCTCCGGCCAGGGCGCCGCGCGCCGCGCCGGCGCCTCTCGCCTCAGGGGGGCCGCGGGGGCGGCGGCGCGTCGCTCGCGACCTCGGCGTGGGCGGGGCGAGCCCCGAGGCCCCCTCCTCGGATCGAGAGGAGGGGCGGAGAACCTTCTCCCCCCTCCCTCCCCCTCCCACTCCCCCCTCCCCCCTCCCTCCTCCCTCCTCCCTCCTCCCTC